TGGGGGATAGGGGATAGGGGGAAAGGACTTAGCAAAATTTGGAGCTCGCGCGGCCGGGGTTAAATCAAAATAGCAGTAGCACGTTTTAGCAAAATGCGCTATAGCTAAGTTAGCTATAGCACGTTCTGCCAAAACGCACTAATGCTATGCCTTTATCTTTTATTTTTATTTTTATTTTGTTTTTATTTACATTTTCTTTTTTTCATTTCTCCTTTTTCTATTTCTTTGATTTTCATTTACTTTTCTACTTATTTTTCTATTTATTTTCTTTTTCATAGCAGTAGCGCTCTACACCGGAAATGCGCTGCTACAAAGTATTTAGCAGTAGCGTGCTTTAGGAAGAACTGCTACTACTATTTCTAGCCTACCGGCAACAGTGTGGGAATTATAGTAGTAGCGCTTTTCTGTGGAGACGCGCTACTGCTGAAACTATAGTTGTAGCGTGCTTTTGCGACAAGCGCTACTACTAAGTAGCAGCAGCGTCTAGTTTTGACCAATGCTACTGCTATACCTCTGTGTATAAGGTTTTCCCTAGTAGTGATAAAGGTGCTCTATAGGTATCTCCGAAGGTGTCTGTTGAGTTCGCGTGAATCGAGATTGGGATTTGTCACTCCGTATGACGGAGAGGTATCTCTGGGCCCTCTCGGTAATACAACATTACAAGAAGCTTGCAAGAAAAGTGACTAAGGAGTTAGTTACAATATGATGTATAACGGAACGAGTAAAGAGATTTGCTGGTAACGAGATTGAACTAGGTATGGAGATACTGGCGATCGAATCTCGGGAAAGTAACATACCGATGGATAAAGGGAACCATGTATGTTGTCATAAAGGTTCGATCGATAAAGATCATCGAAGAATATGTGGGAACCAATATGGGCATCCAGGTCCCGCTATTGGTTATTGACCGGAGAATCGTCTCGATCGTGTCTACTTCATTCTCGAACCCGTAGGGTCCGCACGCTTAACGTCCGTTCATGATATAGTACTATATGAGTTATGTGAGTTGGTGACTGAATGTTGTTTGGGGTCCTGGATGAGATTATGGAATGGTCTGGAGGTAAAGATTGGTATATAGGATGAAGGTATTCGGGTTTCAGAAAGGTTTCGGAATGCACCGAATTACCATCGGAGTGCCGGGAGGGGTTCCGGGAGGCCATGGGGAGTTATTGGGCTTAACGGGCTAAGGAGAGGGAAGCACACCAGCCCACAGGGGGTTGGCGCGCCCACCTCTTGGCCGCTGGCCCTAGGGAAGGAAAGGGGGCGCCTAAGGTAGGGCAGCCCCCCTACCTTCTCCTCCCCCCTAAGGAAGGAAAGGGGGCGCCTAGGCAGGTGTCCAGGGTGACCGCCGGCCCCCTTGGGGTGCGCCTAGGGTTACCTCCCCTCCCCCTCCAGCTATATATATGTGAGGAGGGGAGGGGCACCACACACCACGAATCCCCAAGCCATGTGCGGGCCCCCTCTCCCTCTATTTCCACCTCCGTCCAAATTCGTTGAGCTTAACGAAGCTCTGTGGAAATAGTTTCACCACCACCGTCACCACGTCGTCGTGCTGCCAGAACTCATCTACTACTTAGCCCCTCTTGCTGGATCAAGAAGGCGAGGACGTCATCGAGTTGCACGTGTGCTGAACGTGGAGGTGTCATTCGTTCAGTGCTTGATCGAAATGGATCATGAAGGTGTACCACTACATCAACCATGTTGATAAACGCTTCCGCTTAACAGTCTACAAGGGTACGTAGACACACTCTCTCCTCTCGTAGCTATACATCTCCATGGATAGATCTTGCGTGTGCGTAGATTTTTTTTTTTGTTTTCCATGCAACGTTCCCCAACATATAGTTCAACTGTCAAATGTCATATTGTAGGCTTCTGTTGTCATGCACAGTTCAATGGTCATATGTTGTTGTAGTTCAATTGGTCCTAGAGCCATACACCTCAAAGTACTATAGTATTCTTGACATACTTTAAAAATACTTTGCAACCTAACACAACATTGTTTATTTGTCTAACAAGTTAAAGTGCATCAGGTAATGGCCAATTCTGGAGGCAACCGGAAGGAGGTATATGATGTGGAGATGCTCAACGACGATCGTTTAAAGGCTCGTCAATATCTCAATACCCAACAAGAGGTGAATGCCTCGCTGAAGGCGGAGAAGGGTCAGCTGCAGAACGAGAAGGCTGAGCTCTTCTCCAAAACTAATATGATGAGGGACGAGAGAGGTCAGCTGATCGAGGAGAGGGATAAGATGAATAATGAGAGAAAACTCATTAGGACCGAGAGAAATAACCTCAAGATGGAGATAGATCATTTCAGAAAAGATGGAGAGAACAACAGACACAAGATTCGTCAGCTAAAGTTAATCCTTGATCAAGAGTTAGACTATTTTGTTTGTTTGTTGAATTGTGTACTTCTTTAACTAGCTATTAACTTTTGTGAAGTTGAACTTGTTAAGTTGATGAGTATCGGTTGAAATATGTAGTTCTTTAACTAGGTAGTAACTTTTGTGAAGACGAATTATTTAGTTGGTGAAGTAGAATATGATTTTTTTATTAGTGAAAAATCAATTTGCTGGTTGGCAAACAAGGCACGAAATTGGTAATACACTTACTGCTGGCGTTGGCCATGTGGCCCGCCATCGGTATGTGAATTAGTGCTGATGTGGGCTCCAACGTCACCAGTATTTTTTTAACAATGATGTCATACTGGTGGTGTCGCGTGTCGACACCAACAAGGCCGTTTTTTCATGCCATAGCTAGGTTTTTCTGCACTAGTGCATATGGAGCGAAAAGAAAGACACTACTAGAGCCGCAACCACGTTGTCATCGACAAAGTTCCGTACAGACCTAAACCACAGTTTGAAAATAGTCTAGGCTATAAGTTGCTAGGAAAATAGAATAAAAGGTAGTTTATCTCAACTACAAATGGAAAGGTGAAAACTGGAATAAAAAGAGTACCAAGTTAGGTAAGAATGACGCTCAGGAGTAAGTTGTTCTCGAAGGGGTTTAAAGTCATAACTACTAATATGATCATCGTAATAAGAGCAGAGCGTAGCTCTTTGTTGTATCTCTATACCACTCTCCATGTTCATAAGTGGGAGGGTCCAGGTACAGGATATGTTCTACTCTAGGTAGACTTTATACCACAATGTCACTATCGTAGTTTCCCATGTTGGTTATCACTAAGGTTAACTAAAGGTTTTCACACGGACACAGCCACGCCAAGGGTTTTCTGTTATTTCCCTACTGACTGTAAGAGGCAAGGAAAGAGGCTTTTACTGGCACCTTGAATTACCTCAACATCTCGTGCGAAAGATCTGGTGTCTCCTACAACCTTCCCTCTCCACCAACCAAAGGAATCAGCCGAAGGAGGAGGCGACGATCTAGGGTTTCGCCAGAAATGACCAAAATAGGAGTTGAGTTCGAGTTTTGCAGCGGGAAGGGGCTTTGCCCCCTTATCAAAATGTGTAGATCTCGTACTCGCTTAGGCCCCCTTATCTCTTACCTCTAAGCTTTGGTCCCCCATGGTAGCCAACTCTGACCAGGTGGGGAACACCCAAGGATTTTAGGGGGCCTGATCTCATAGGCGCCATCGTCGTCCCACCAAGATCAAGTGGGGCTTTCACTTGCACCACCTCAGCAGGTCGCATAAGATCTTTGCATGATGCGGTACACGATGCGTTGAAACCACATCAAGTCGTTGATCAATCCAAACAATATGACAAGGCATCTCCAGCATGTCGTCGGGCTTGACACACTCGCCACCCCGTAGGTATCTAGCATCAACCGGACCCCTCCCGTCCGCGTGAGTGTGGTGCAGGACAAGGTGGACAGAATCACGTCGGAGGATGAGCATGCTAGCGAGCTTGGGACGCGATCATGTTGTGCACAGATCGGTGACATACGTAACCGTCCAAGAGGTGAAATCACTAACTGAGGAGTACTTCTTCCAAAGATCATTCCAATCTCCCCAGGCTGCGACAAGTGGTGCACTGCATGTTGCGACAAGGACCTAAGAGTTTTCACTTTTTTCGTAGGTCTATTTATTCAAAATATTTTATCTCTAAAACCATGTGTCCAAATCTTAAACTGTTTTCACCGTTGGATTCCTCGCGCCGAGATCTTCAAAACTAGATCTCATGTTAATAGATTTTGGTGAACTTCTTTTTCACGAAAAAACCGGACGCGAAGCGGGAGCACGTTTTTTCCCCTCTCCGGAAGCCGTTTCTGAGAGGCACGACCGTGCTTCTCGCAGAAGAAAAAAAGAAAATGCATTTTTTTTCGTTTCCGAGAGGCACAACCATGCCTCCGGCGGAAGCAAAACCATGCCTCTCACAAAAGGAAAAAAATAAAGAAAAACATGTTTTTTTGCACATTATTTTTCAATTTTTTTGTCAAAAAGGTAGAAAAGACCAGTGAAAACCCGAAAAGTCAAAGAAAACCGGAAAAAACCATCTAAAAAGCCGAAAACACGTGCGGAAAAATAAAAAACAAAATCCGAAGGGAGCGTCCAGAGCGCGACACGTGGCTGCGGCTGTGGCGCACTCTCAGCCCACCCCCAAGTGATCGTTGGGAGGCTCCCTAAGGAGCGCTGGCCACCTAGTTGCTCCCCCCAACGGGTGTCGGGTGGACAAGACATTTCCTAGCGTGTTGGGCTAGTAAAAAAAGACATGGAGGCCCAAGCCCATGCGTAGTCTCCTCGGAGGGTCCAGTCGAATCGAAACCGAGGACCGGAACAGCAAACCTGAATCGCCCCTCAAAAAAAAAAGGCAAAAAACAAACCTGAATCTAAGTCGTAGTGGTCGTCCTTTCTCCCTGTCGACTCTCGACTGGACTCCTTATCGGACGCCAAACGGAAAAGGCGATCGATCATATACCCCAAGCCGCACCGCATAAACCCAAGGAACAAGAGACAGCAGGAATTTTCCAGTTAATTAGCTGATTCTCCTTCTATCTATCATCAGGAATAGGCAGTTTTGCAAGAACGAAGGAGCACATCAATGTCCAACGTCAACCGGCCGCATCCGGTTCTCCCGATGGCGACCTTCCAGCCCAAGGGTAACCAACCAGCCGAGTTCGTCTTGCTTCCCGTGATTCGCGGTTCCGATCTTGCTCAGCAGCCAATGCGTGCTAACTCTGTGTCGATCGTGTGGCTGCGTGTTGCTCTCCTCAGGGTTTGCGCCGTCGCCGGCGCCGTCGCCATTGGAGCAATGGACGAAGCGGTTCCAGGAGGCCGAGCGGCTGGTGGAGGAGGTGATGGGGAACATCGCCGAGAGGGGGTCCGTCCCGGCGTCGCTGCCGCTGGAGCTGAAGCGCCGGACCGGGGAGATCCGGCGGAAGGTGGCCATCCTCGAGACCCGGCTGAGCCTCATGAGGGAGGACCTCGACCGACTCCCCAACAGGCACCACATCTACGCATATTACTACTACTCGTACTATAAAGAATCCTAATAAAAATACACAGAAATAACTCGGTACAATTGGTAGATAACACTAATCGATTTGCATTGCAGGAACGTGAAGGAGATGCGCAAACTGGCGGAGAAGTTCGACGCTCTGGAGCTGAAGGTGAAGGAGGTGGCTGCGCCGTTCACCATGAAGAAGCACTCGTCCAACAGGTGAACTGATTAAATTTCTGAATTCTGAACATGTTTGACTGACGCTGAAACAATCTGTGTGCCAAGTTTCAACGACCAGTCTGAACTCTTTTCTGAAAGCAATTTCTGACGCCCGAAAACCTGCCTGACTGACGCTGAAACAACCTGTCGCGTTCCGACTTTCTGAACCTTCATGAACGAGCTGCTCGGACCGAGCGACCACAGGTGCACGGTGGTGGACATAAAGAGCACGGCCAACATGGAGAACCAGGAGATTGTCCAGCTGCAGAGGAACATTATGAAAGGTACGCTTCGTTAGTTACTGTGCATCAACATATGTTTTTGCGATGCTGCGTATATACTCAACTGAGCAAACTTTATCGTGAACTGAAACCATGAGTGATGATATGCAGAGCAAGATGAGTGTCTGGACAGGCTGGAGGAGACCATTGTCAGCACGAAGCACATAGCGCTGGCGATCAACGAGGAGCTGGACCTGCACGTCAGGCTAATTGTAAGCATGGTCTTCTTGTCAGCTATATCAGTCTTGGTTCCTGGAATTCCGGAGTCACTTTGTCCTTTATTAAGTACAAGTGCTTATTTCTGAAACCTTCATACATGAACGCTGCTGCAGGATGATCTGGACGAGAGGGTCGAGGACACGAGCACCCAGCTGCAGGTATTTCATTCCTTCCACAAATTAAGATCAATATGAATACAGATCATATGATTGAAAGCTAACGTGCACGTCGTTGTGTCATGTCTGTGTGCAGCGCGCGCAGAAGAAGCTCAAGTCTCTCAACACGCGGATGCGTAAAAGTGGGTCCTGCACGGGCATCCTCATGACGGTCATCGCAGGTGTGATCTTCGTTGCCGTGGTCTGGGCTCTGATCAAGTTCTAGCGGCACGAAAGGTCCACATATAAAAATTGCAATGTATATGTAGGGGCAGAAATCGTCCATGCACAGTCCAAAACCCACTACCCTTTTTCTGGTCTACTGGTAGGTAGCTCAAGTGCCGATCTGATCCGTGTACTGTCTTGCAACTCCCGGATGACTTGTGAAATTTCCGTTTGTCTGTGCCAATGACAAGAATACAGATACGGGCGATTTGCCCATGAACTGAATTTACAGACATACGTGACCTCCTCCCACTAACCCTATCCCTGAATTTCGTGGGCGTGTTGTGCTACTCGCCAAATGCGCCGTTCTTGCGTGCACCGCGCGGTGGGTTCTCGTAGTAGTGGTTTAAGGTTCAGAGTTAACTGAACTACTCCCTTTATTCACTTTTGTAAGTCGTTTAAGACTGCTAAAATTGAACTGTTCTAGGTGTTGTCTTAAATGTCTAAAGGTCTTAGAAAAGTGAACGGAGGGATTAGTAAAGAACATAAATGGATTTTTGACAGGAGTAGCAGATTTGACATGAAGTTTCTAGGGTTCTTAGAGCATCTCCAGCCACGCCCCCAACAAGGCCCCCCAGGCGATTTTTCGACCGCCGGCGCTAAAAAATCGGCCCAGTCGCGCCCCAGGGGCCCATTTTTCGCCGGCTCAGGCCTAAATTGGCGCCGGCGGACCCAACCCGAACCCAGCGCGCTGGGGTCGCTCGGGGGCGCCGGGCGAATCTTTTATGGCGTGAAAGCGCCGCGGGCCAGCCGCGTCAGCGACTCGACTCCCTTCTCGGCGCTTCGTCGTCCTCATCGCCTCGTTCCCCGCGGCGAATCAATGCCAAAGTTGCGCGCGCTGCCGCACCGGTCAGCCTCCATTGATGCCTCACGGGCGGCGCAGTGAAGTCCGGGCGACGCGCGTCCCCTCGGCCGCCACGCCTCCCGCCACGCGTAACGCGCCGGCCAAGCCTACCACGCGGCGCTTCCGCCTATATAAGCCGAGAACCAGCGCACCGGAGATACGCACACACACTACACCGCCGACGCGCCCACTTCTCCCTCTTCCTCCTCTCGCCGTCTCCAGCTCAGAAGGATGGCCGAGCGCTTCTCAGGCGACGGCGCGGCGGCGAATGGTTTCGGGCGCCGCCATCTGCACGAGGACGAGGCTCACCTCCTCTTCGAGGCCGAGTACCCGGCCCCGCCGGACATGCGGGTGCCCGGGTCGTGGAGGATCAGCGCCGGCGGCGTGCCGGTGCCACCACCACCCACCGGGGCGGCACGGCCTGCGGAGATCGCACGCATCCGCGCGTCCCTGCCGCGAGCGGCAAGAGAAGGCCCGTGGTACACCCCTGACAGCCCGCTCTGGAGCCCTATTTCCGCCGCCGACACGCCGAGCAGCTCGGGGCGACGAACGGCGTCGTGCCCTCCGGCAGGCTCAACTCCGAGGGCCGGCGCCGGTGGTAGGGCATACCCGGCCGCACGTTGGAGGTCGTCCTCGAGTACATCGAGGGCGGCAACACGCCACACCTCGAGTACCCCGCTCCCCCGACCTTCTCACGCCACCGTGGGAGCTCCTGGACGCCCAGGCGTATGGAGCGGCCCAGCGCGTCCTCCTCCTCGTCCGGTCGCTCGTCGGGCTCTCCCTGCCTCCGCCCTGTCAAGCCGGAGCCCCAGGACACGCCGGTCAGCGTGCGCACCCGCAGCTCCGGCGTCCGCATCGGCGACTCCACCCCCCCCCTCATCCGGCCGCTTCGTCCTCGTCGAGCCCAAGCCGGAGCCCAGCCTCCCCGCGGAATACGAGGAGATAGCCCGCGCGCGGCTTCTCCGATGAGGACGCCCTGCAGTGGGCGCGGGACGACTACCTCCGCGACGAGATGGTCCGGCAGCGCCGGGCCCTGAAGGATATCGAAGCCCGCAAGCACGGGCGCGAGGACGAGCACGGCGTCGTCATCCTCGACAGCGACGACGACGAGGGCGCCCCCGGACCGTCCAACCCGCCGCGCCAACCGGGGGAGGGATGCAGCAGGGACGGCGGCAGCAGAGGCGGCGACGCCGCCGCCGCCGCCGATGACGACGGCGGCGGCGGCGGCGCCTACACGCTGTTCTACAGCCTCCTCGGCATGTAGAACTGCGAGGGCGGGCGGCGGGCGGCGGGGAGCGGCGAGGCAGACGGCGAGGAGCGGCGATGGAGACGGCGAGTGGCGGCCCCTAGTAGTTTTTTCTTTTTTTGTAAAATATGTTTAAGTTTGAACGAACTCGCCGAAGTTTGCAATGAATTTGCGCCGTGTTTATGCCGTGTTTAAAATTTTCAAAATAACGTGGACGCCGCGACTGGGTGGCATCACGCCCCCAGTGCGCGGGTTCGCGCCGGTGCGCCTCCAGGGAGCGATTTTTAGCCCCTCCTAAGGGGCCAACGGCTGGAGATGCTCTTAGCCACTCTCAGGTGCACATAAAGGGGGCCAGCCGGAACACGGCAGGTAGGGTTTTACCCAATACAAGAGATATGGTTTCTACCTGCAGAATCAGCAAAAGGCGTAAAGTAAGCAGTGCACCTTTGTCGGAGTTCAAACAGCAACCCATGGGATGGCGAAGACCGTCGGATCTGGAATCAACGTCGAAGCAGTGTGGACGGTTGGATGGAAGATCAATGGCCGAGCTTGATTTCGGCATGGCGAAGCTGTACTCCGTTAACTGAAGAAATCGACACTTTGCAGCAGTCAGTGTTCAGAGATCCTGACAAGTGGTCACCCGGACGCGCGTGCTACCAAAACCTGGAGCCCTGCCCTGACTCTCAGTCCACTGACGGTAACATCACTTGCAGTTTGATAATCGAATTAGAGTGAAGTCTGATTTAAACCTTGAAGTTGTAGAGGTTGTTGGAAACGAACCCTCACGTCCAAATCCCTGAAATATATACCCTGTACTATTTTATCCCGGTCGATTTTAACCTTGAGGACGTATCCAAACAGAATTGGCAGGGATGAGGGTGAGACCCACATGTCAGCAGGAGAAGTAAATATCAAGTTTTCTGTGAAATTTTTTGGCAGCGTAGGATTCAGAAGGGAGACCTGGCTCTTAGACTGCCGCAATAGTGTATCGGCATGGACAGCCGGTCGCCACCGCCACGAGAAATGCACGGAGCGTGGAGCGCTGCAGTGCAACTCGGGACAAGCTAGTGCGCGATTAGAGCGAGGACAAGGCTGCGTGCATGCTCGTGGTGGGCCGCCTCGGGCCGCTGCAGAGAAGAACACCTTCTAGTTGTAGTACAAAGCACAGCTTCCGCCTTTGCCGGCGTCGAGCACAGCTTCTGCGTGGTACGCCTCCGCTGCTGTCCGCCTCCGCTATAACATGTCTAAGCGGAACAAGCCTTGAACAACGCCTCCTGTGCGTGGCATGGCTCGTCCACGTGCTCTTCCTCCTCTCTTACATGGAGGTGCCGCTGCTCTTCTTGCTCCGACTCGGCCGAGCATCGCTGGCATGGGACGCCGGCCGGGCGTGGAGCAATACGACGAGACTACGCGTGGGGTGCGCTCGTCCACTAGCACTGGCCGTACGGGAGCAACTTGTTCCGCGGCTTTTCGGCAGCCAACTCGTTGCTCACGTCCATCTAACCATCTATCGATCCATGCAAATATAAACCATGCATGCACGTGTGTTCTGAAATCCAAGTTCAGTCAACAATCCCAGCGTCTCCGTGTCACGTCATCCAATCCCCTCCTAAAAAGGCATCAAGGTTAAAAACGACCGGGATCAAAGAGTATAGGGTACAAACTTCAGGGATTTAGACGTGAGGGTTCGTTTACAACTACCTCTACAATCTTAAGGTTTAAATTAGACTTCACTCAATCGAATTAGGTGGTTAGTGTACGTCGCACCATTACTATATTTGCTGCCATCCCGGACAAAACATATCTCTGTCAGTGGACTATTGTCGCGCGCGCCCTCAGGGCATGTACAATGGTGCTATCTTAAGAGTGCCATGTAGGATAAATGATGATGTGGAGGAGAGAGAACTCATAAGAAAAGGCTTGTCTTCTCTTATTTAAGAGAAGACAAGAGATGATCTCTTAGCACAATATGTCTCACCACATTTTTAGGAATGACTAGTTATTGAAGATAAGGCTAAGAGATGACCCATTGTAGACTCTTTTTTTTTGTCATATCTAAATTACATGCAAGACTTAAGATAAGACTACCTTATCAACCATTGTACATGCCCTTCACATGGCCGCCGCGCCCATGGAGCCGTTTTTTGCCCCAAAACATGCGCTGACATTATTGATTATCATTCCCTCGCCGTGTATCACAAACGCACATATGTCATACCTGACCTCAGTCTTCAAGGCAACCATCACATGGGTACAATGCACCACCGTACGTGCAATTAGTCTTGCGCCGTTTTCGCCACCGTACAATGCAACCCCACTGTAATTTGGAAGCCCATATAAACATTGCATTTTGTCGAAAAATATAAACATTGCATGCCGTTTTGCCATGTGCTCTCTAGATACATGGATCCGTATGTAGACAAATCTATATCGATTAATTTGGGATGGAGGTAATAGTACTGCATTTGTACCAAATCTACTACCATGACATGCCCTGCAAAAACCACCTCGATCACCACAACCAAGACGAGAGCTGTCATCATCATCTTTTATCCCTTGCTGGGGATTTAGGTGTATGCTCTGTACCAAATTTCCTCTCTCTCTCTTTATATATATTCAATGAAATGCTGCGCTGACAGCTTTTCGTCAAAAAAAAAAAAAAAGAAGAGCACGATATGTTGGGCACTTTGGCTCCGTCCCCATCGATCACAGCGGGCAACCAGACTGATGCCTTGACCGACCCACAAGCAAGCTCCAGTTTGTACTAATTCGTAAAGATTAGCCAGTTTGGCCCTTGGAAACCGCAGTGGAGCGGAAGAAGAAAACACACGACGCCCCTGATTTGCCGGCTACTTGCGCGTACGGCTGCACCCACTACAGGCTAATCCCAATGCCATGCCCCAAAATCTTGGCCGTGTTTCTAGCCAGCCTCCACATGCCTAGCACTACACTGCCGAGCTGCCTGCCCCTTTGCTGACCAGAGTAACTGGCACACTCCTTGGCACCATCTGTCCCTATAAATTTCACCTCGCCGTGCAGATTTTGACGCAGCGGTCTCGGCTCTCCTACCTAGTAGCTACCCAATCGACATTTGACAGTGGTCTCATGGCGTTGGTCGTGGTGGTTGGCGCCGCGGTTGTCGCAATGTGGCTACTGGCCGGTGAGGCGCGAGCGCAGGCGCAGCTCCAGGTAGGGTTCTACGCGCACTCGTGCCCCCAGGCGGAGGTCATCGTCAGGGACGAGGTCGGCCGGGCCGTCAGCGCCTACCCTGGCTTCGCCGCCGGCCTCGTCCGCCTCCACTTCCACGACTGCTTCGTCAAGGTTTGCACTACTAGCCAGTATGAAATGCAGGTTGCGATATGCAGGCGTGCGCTCCAGCTCCATTGAAAATGACAGCGATGTATTGATGCGCGGTTGACTGTGGTTCGTGTCAGGGCTGCGACGCGTCGGTGCTGCTGGACTCGACGGCCAACAGCACGGCGGAGAAGGACGCCTCGCCCAACAAGAGCCTCAGGGGGTTCGAGGTCATCGACGCCGCCAAGAAGCGCCTGGAGGCCGCTTGCGCCGGGACCGTCTCCTGCGCCGACATACTCGCCTTCGCCGCCCGTGACAGCGTCGTCCTGGTACGTACGGCGACAAGGCTCATATTGCTAGGAGCCTATGAGGACACTGCTTTGTTCAGCTCTTGCTTACACACCGTCAATGGCAGGCCGGCGGTAGCCCGTACGGCGTCCCGGCCGGGCGGAGGGACGGCAACGTGTCGGCGGCGTCCGACGCGCAGGCGAGCTTGCCCCCGCCCACGGCGAACGTGGCTCACCTCACTGAAGCCTTTGCAAAGAATGGGCTTTCCCAAGAGGACATGGTCACGCTTTCAGGTACCTAGCCCACCCAAACACCCACAGCCCAACTTACATCGACAGCTTCGGGCGGCCCGTGGCATTTTTTTTCCCTCTCTGCATTTCTCATTTGAATACGTTCAGGCGCGCACACGGTCGGCGTGACGCACTGCAGCTCCTTCAGCGCGCGGCTGCACGGGTACAACGCCACCACGGGCACGGGCCAGGACCCGGCAATGGACGCGGCCAAGGCGGCGGAGCTGGCGCGGCAGTGCCCGCCGGGGAGCCCGAACGCGGTGCCCATGGACGCCGGCAGCCCCAACACGTTCGACACGGGCTACTTCCGCGCCCTGCTGGCCAACCAGGGCGTCCTCGCCTCCGACCAGACGCTCACGTCCGACAACGCCACGGCCGCGCTCGTGGCGCAGAACGCCGGCAACGTCTACCTGTTCGTGACCCGGTTCGGCGACGCCATGGTGAGGATGGGCGGCATCCGGGTGCTCACCGGCGGCGACGGCCAGATACGCACCAACTGCAGGGTCGTAAACTGACAAACACTTGTTTCACTACACGTCACTCATAATCTGGAGTATCTTTTTGGCCGGCTTTGCAAATGCAGTGGAGTTATACATTGATTGAGTTTCGGACACGCACATTGCGTTGCGCGTGAGAGATGTGTGGTGTGCAAGATCTTCCTTTCTCTCTTGATAGGAAAGAGCTTCCAAAAACTGTGCTGCGAGCTTTTGGCAAAGCGTATGCCTGCTTTAGTTATTCGGGTGATGGGTGACGCATGGATCGGCCACGCTGTAGACGTGCTTTTGTCATGTGTCGAGCAACCCTGAGAGCCTACCTAAGAACATGTGCTTACCCTGATTAAAAAAGAAGAAGAGACCTAACAACCAGGCAAAGATTCAGCAGGTTTAATTAGTGTTTACTGAACCGGACAAGCAAGTTGGTAACAACAATTCTAGTTTGAGCTTCCGTCCTTAATCAAAAAAGAAGAAGAAACCTAACAACAGCCCTGAAAAAGATTCATCAGCTTCAGTGTTTGCTGAACCGGACAAGCAAGTTGGTAAGAACAATTCTAGTTCGAGTTTTTCTCCTTGATTAAAGCTGCAAAATGGAAATGGCCACGATGAAAGAAAAGCAATCAATCAATCAAGCTTTGTAACGGAGCCGGCAAAGTAGGGATGAGCACAAGACAGGGCTAGGTAAGAAGCTGCTAGGTGGATGGAGCCAATTCTCGCTTTTTTTTCAGGAAAGATTATCAACTATCCACTCATGAGGCTAGCATTTCTTCGTTTCTTATTGCCAGGAGGAGACTCGTTGCATGTTGTAGTCGCCTCTTCAGTCCTCACTAAGCAAGTCCATGATGTCTTCTTTCTTTATGGTGGCTGGTCCATATATCATGATTCAGTGAATCCACTCACAGATATAAAAAAAAAGCACCAATTAGGCGGATCCAATTCATCTCATCCATGAAATCACTTTGATCCAACGATCTACGTTGCTCTAGAGTTCACTGAACATTTAGAGCCACCATGGTAAAAGAGTTCAGCACTCAACACATTTAGCACTGAACATTAACGTAATAACCTACGCTAACAACTGCCCGCACATGGTAAAAGACAGAGCGGCTTCCAACAGCTAGCTGTATGCACAATTGCAAACTGGTTGTTAGGAAAAGAACATGGGGGTCCTCCGATTGCGGTCAAACCGACAGCAGTCCATGGCGGATTGATCGGTTGATATTAGCTATAAATAGGGGCCAGGTCCTTGTTAGCACGGCTTGCACGCAGCTTCCACCACCAAACACGACCTGCATGTGCAGGCAGGCAGCACCACACCTGTAATTAATCAATCCATCAGTCTGTAGACCAGGCAGGCATGCAGTTAAGAAATGAGGATTCTGTTTCTTCCATCTTCTGAATGAAACCCAGCCTACATTCCTAATAATTGCTGAACTGAGCTTACACTGTCTTCTTGGCTTGGCTAATCGAACATACATTCAGCGGTCGGTGTCCCCAGCTAGCTCCTCCACTGGCGGGTTCATGTTGCCCCCAGCCTTTTTACCTTCCAGGTGTTAACTAAGAGCAACTCCAATGGGGCGACCCATTTCGTCCGCCGCCGACCGTTTGGGTCGGCGCGGACACAAAAAGGCTGCACTGACAGATTCATGTTGCCCTCAGCCTTTTTACCTTCCAGGTGTTAACTAATCATCCGTAACTTTACCTAGAAACTGCAGGGACCTGCCTTTTCCGTTCTTCATTTCTTTGGATAAAATGTTTGCAGCACACTCCTTAACGAGGAAGGCAGTCGAATCCGGGGCCCAGTTGTTGATTTGCCTGAGCTAACCGTACTGACGCACTGTTAAATACTGGCGGAGATCTGCTGCTTTAATCATGCGAGTTCAGAAGAAGAAGAAGAAAAAGGAGGGGATTAGTTTTGTGAAGCAGCAGAAGCAGGCAGGAGTCAAAATCAAGGCAGCAATCAATCAATTAAGCCATGGAGCGTGCATGTTGGGTGGCCGTGTATCCCGCGTCGCCGAGCTGGCAAACCCGATGGGTCGGCGATTCCGCGTTAGCGAGCTGACAGCGTACCGGATGCAACTAATCAAGAGACGATCATGGTGATGGCACATCACCAGCACTTGACTCAAGTAGATGCAGGGTGGGGTTGGAGTGCGCTGCAAACTGAAGCAAAGCCAACTCACTCTTAATTTCACACCCAACTACTATAGCTAACTCAGTCTAGGACACGGTACATCGGACCGAGGACACAAATCGGTAGATAACCGTAAGACTGTACTGGATCACATTAAGTTACCACCGAATGTTCGTTGTAGGGGACACACAAATTGCATAGGCCCCAAGCAAAGATGACTCCGTGAACCCTGTCCGTCCGTCCATATCCCGTTTTTGGCATCAGATTCTGATGTGGCGGAACAGAAACTGCTGGAGCATGGGTGGCTCTCAGAGCGTGATAGAGCAGAGAGGAAAGTTCCAACCCACATAAAGAAGAAGAGACCATTGATCGACTAATCATCTGCGGCGCCTGCTTGGCGCAACGTGCCCTCTTGTGTCACATGCTCGGTCTCGCCACATCGCCACACTGCTCACCACTGCAATCACACTGACACTGTCCGATCGAATTGCCCGTCTGTCGACCGATCCGTCCCCAGTAAATCAATCTGCCTCAGATCAAAACTGAAAAGGTAGTAAGAAAGAACAAGCATTTCACCGATGAACGCGTCTTTCTGCCATGGATCACATCGATCAAAGGTTAGTAATTTTATCGCCTCAATGATAGCCCAAAAAGTTTGGGCCCGGGTCCCTCTCTTCCACTAAGCTAGTTGTGCTACTACGCCACTCTCACCACATGGCTCCTGCCACCCTCGCCTCGCCTCACCCGCCTTCGCCCGCCTACAAAACCGGCCTCCGCTCCCACCTGGACTCGCACCGATTTCTCCTCGGCTCCATCCTTAACCAAAGTTAAGAAGATAGCATCGGCATCCCACGGATTAGATAGCGCCACCGGAAAGTTGCTGCTGCTGCTGCTATATATCTCTTGCGGCCTCCAGGCTCCAGCGTCGAGGATTAATTGCCGCCAGCTTAAGGAAGCAAGACCTGAATTGGTTGTCTGGCCGGCCATCCAGGGAGCTAGGCCAGGGATATACATACATGGAGGCGCCGGCGGCCAGAGGAGGAGCGCGAATGCGGCTCCGGCTGGTGTCCCTGGTGGTGGTGGTGGCGATGGCGGCGGCGACGGCGCGGGCGCAGCTGCAGGTCGGGTACTACGACACGCTGTGCCCGGCGGCGGAGATCATCGTGCAGCAGGAGGTCAGCAAGGGGGTGTCCGGCAGCCCCGGCACCGCCGCCGGCCTCCTCCGGCTCCACTTCCACGACTGCTTCGTCAGGGTACGTGCTACTACTCCATCGCAATTCGGTACCTCCACCTCCGCTAGCTCCGATTCCCTTCCTTCCATGGACAAGAGCTCAGTTCTCTTGTTGCTTGGCGTGGGATCGAGGTCAGAGGTAGGAGAGATAGATAGACAAGTAGAGATGCGGTGAGTGATCCAATGCTGCGTGATGTCAGCGTGGGGATCGGTGTCCTTGGCTTGCATGTGGAGGAGCCCGCTGAATGTCCTCTTTTGCCGTGCGCCGTGCTCTGCTTCGGCAGTTTCTTCCCCTTTTATTTACAGCGAGGAGCAAGTGGTAGATGCGGGCATGGATCGATCGGGAGCTGAATGGTGACAGTCTGACAGGCCGTTGCCATATGAGTCCATCCTTTTCCGCTGTTTTTTTGTCTTCTTTCTTGGCAAAATTGGATAGAGCCTCGACGCTAACCCCCAACCGCTCGAGGGTGACGCGTTGGGTTGGAGCGATGCTTGACAGTGCATGCTTGGTTGCTTTCATTCATGGACCTGACATCATATAGATCACCAACTCCTACTCGATCGATCGATCATCGCGGCCGACGTGATTCATGATAATAATTGATGTTTGTTTGCGGTGTGGTGTCGGTGCATGATGCAGGGCTGCGACGGGTCGGTGCTGCTGGACTCGACGCCGGGCAACCAGGCGGAGAAGGACGCGCCGCCAAACTCGAGCCTCCGCGGGTTCGAGGTGATCGACGCGGCCAAGACGCGGCTGGAGCAGGCCTGCTACGGCGTCGTCTCCTGCGCCGACGTGCTCGCCTTCGCCGCCAGAGACGCCCTCGCCCTGGTACGTTACGTTCAGCTTCTTCCATTCACTAGAGGTCACCGTGTGTGTGTGTGTGTGTGTGTGTGTGTGTGTCAGGAGCTTCTATGAGAGTTCGTTCGGCAGATCGCCGGCCGGTGGGGCCGGAGGAATGTGGTGTCGGAATATGGAAGCATGCATGTGGCGCGGGCCTCGACCGATCTCCGATCAAGCCTTTTTAACGATGCCACGATCGATCGATCCCCGGGCCTCTCTTTTGCCTTTGCTGTGTATCTTTCTCGAAAAGCAAGCAACCAGGGGCCTGAAAGGAACCGACCGCCTTTTGTTCCTCTCCTTTCCTTTCCACCCGAAGGCCGCACTAACAGCAGTAATCCTCTCCTAGTCCTATACTACTACTCCTACGTGCCTGCCAACCTGCACACAACGATGCCGAGCTCGCTTCTTGCCGGACGTGGCCAGACCAGGCTGTTCGCGTGGCCATCACGCGTGCGGTGTTCCGTTTTCAGGAGAAAGATATAATACGTGGCATAGAAAGTTTACTTTGAGCCTGTTGCCACTCGTTTTTTTTTTAAAAAAATTAACTGGTAGTAGTAGTAGAAGTAGAAGATGGGTGCGCGTAGTGGCAGATGCCGATCATTCCCGAGCTTTGCTCCGGTCTCGATGCAAGGGAGATCGCGGACTGCATCCCAGCGCAGGAAGTTCAGATACCCAAGCGATCTGCCGCTCTTTCCCGATGCAGGATTGCAGGCCCTTAATTACTTCTTCAGTTAGTTACTACGCGCAGACAACGGTACAATCCGCTGGTCGGTAGGGGTATCGGTACTGCTGGTAGGAGCAGTGCTAACCACTGTACTGTAGTGGCAGGAGTATTTGTAGATTTTCAGCTGCTTAGAGCAGTTAATGTGTTGTGGGTCGTTCGGGGCTGATACGATACGACCGTTGCAGCATTGGCATTCGTGCTGCTCTTTCACTGACGTACGGGGCCTGTTTCAAGTCGAATCTCAACTCTCATCACGGACAAGATATCCTTCACGAAAAAACGTTAGTCCTGAACACTTGGTAGAATTTGTGGCCAACTCGTTTGTTTCGCGGGCTAAAAACTCCTTGACGATCAAGTGCACTGCACTGCCAGTGTGTGGCTGACAGTGAGTGACAGTGAACTTGCATTCAGAGAGCTGGAAACAGCACATCAGGCGAACAACCTTGAAAAGAAAAGGACATGTACCGGCAGAGCAGAGCGCCGGTGATGACCGGCGGTTCGGAGTTCCTGTCAATCAGCCAGCATTGCGTGCGCCTGGCGGCGATAATCAAAGAGGGGATGCTATTTATGTAGGGGATCTTGGTCATCGAGCGGCGCACGCCGGGGTGCGTTGGTGGCCGGGCCGACTAGTTTACGTGGATCCGTCGCACGCCCCATGTGGCCGGCACATGCCATGATTTCTGTCTCCGTTCCGAGCCGTCGTCCCCCGCCCCGGCCCATGCCGATGCCGAGCCGTCCTCCACTTAGATGGCATGGCATGGAGCCCCCCATGGCATGGAGCCCCCCATGCCGATGCCGAGCCGTCGTCCCCCGCCCCGGCCCGGCTCACCAACCATGTCCATGTGACGCGTCTCGATCCGTCCTTAGCCCGTGGTTTTTGGCGGCCAGTGCTCGCAAATCCTGGCACGCAACAATGGTGGATACAGATTAAGCTAACGACAGTGTACTGCCGCCACCGACCCCCAAACAGTCTCTGTTTGATCCTCTCCGTGTACCAGACGTTGATTGCTCTAATGGCGTCTTCTCTGAAAACGATGATGATTTCTAAGAGTCGTGAAAATGGCGTGCAGTTTTAGTTTTAGTAGGATGGTAATTAACTGACGATGTGTGTGAATGTGTGTGCAGGTCGGAGGCAGCTCGTACCAGGTGCCGGCCGGGCGACGAGACGGCAACGTCTCGGTGGCGGGGGAGACCAACGGGAACCTGCCGCCGCCGACCGCCAACGTGAACCAGCTCAACCAGATCTTCGGCTCCAAGGGCCTCTCCCAGGCCCAGATGGTCGCGCTCTCAGGTACTTACGCACGTAGTCACCACCTCAGCCCACGTACTGAACCGACGGCCCGAGAGAGAAAGATTTTCTGACTGAATGGACATGAACTTGCTCTGCAGGGGCGCACACGGTGGGTATGGCGCAGTGCAGCTCCTTCAGCAGCCGGCTCTACTCGTACGGGACCAACGGCGGCAAGGACCCCAGCATGGACCCGGCCTACCTGGCCACGCTCACCACGCAGTGCCCGCAGTCCGGCGCCAGCCAGCCCGTGGCCATGGACCCCGTCACGCCCAACACCTTCGACACCAACTACTACGCCAACGTCGCCGCCAACCGCGGCCTGCTCGCCTCCGACCAGGCCCTCCTCGCCGACAACAGCACCGCCGCGCAGGTCCTCGGCTACACCGCCAGCCCCGGCACCTTCCAGACCGACTTTGCCAGCGCCATGGTCGCCATGGGCGCCATCGGCGTGCTCACCGACAACCAAGGCACCATCAGGACCAACTGCAGGGTCGTCGGCTAGCTGCTCGTCCATCAGGAACCTGAACTGAATTTGGTTCTAGTATAGAGTGTAAGAAGCTGTTCGATCGATCTGTACTAGTAGCTAGATAGCTTAGCTTAGCCCCACCGTCCTCTCTTCTTCTTCTTCTTCTTCTTCTTCTTCTTCTTCTTCTTCTTCTTCCTCATGCATGCTTTCTTTCTGCTTTTGTATTCTCTTAATTAGCCTCTGTATGTATGTCTTACTATCTAGCAATTGGATTGGGAAATGTATGTAATGACATGATCACAACATGATTGGGTTTGGGTACCAATGTACCGATATACAGTGCTTAATAAAAACCTATACTACTACAGACAGACATGTGTAATGTGTTGCTGCTAGCGCCACTTCTCTCTGATTTCTTTTCAAAAACTTTTGCGGATAGTCCAGGTAGCACATAGGGCAGATTAAAATAAATCTAAAGTGTCAACCACTGTGTCCAGCAAAAAATTTAACATCTCCCAATTTTTTCCTGGTCTCTTTGTATGGAACAGGATGAATTCTTCAAAACAAAAAAAAAACTTCTGATTTTTATTTTGTTTAGTCAGTTTTGATTTAGAAAACAATATACAAAAAAAAACTTTGTAAATTTTATAAAAAATATCATAAATTCAAAACTTAAGTTAAGAATTAACTGTTCACTAAAGTAATAAACGTTCTTGGAATCTATTTTCATAAATCTAAAAAATATACTGATTTTTGCAAAAAAAAATGTTGATTAATTTAGAAGAAAAAAATAAATACCAGAAGGAAGCAAGAGGAACAACAAAAAGAAAAAAAAACAGCAAAAATATGTGTGCGAAAAAACCGAAAATGAAAAAAATAAAATAAAACAAAAAACAAAACCAAAAATAGAAGAAGAATGATACTAGCAGTGAAAAGGCAAATAGAAATAAAGCCTAAACCGACATGTAAAATATCAAAAGGAAGGATTGGTGCCTAATGGGCCTGGCCCGTTTTGGATCGTATAATACCTCTAATATTTAGTTTGTACCAAGTTCCTAGGAAATTTCTTTCAATGCAAAATCCTAGAAAATTGTGTAAATAAAATAAAGAGATTTTTCAACACATTTCATGTTGTTTTTTATCTTAAGTGATAAACCAAGAACACCATGGTAATAATTCTAGAAAAGGATCATAGTATTTTTCTTTTCTGAAAATAGCAGAATTTTTTCTCTTCTAAGAAACCTGAGAATTTAAATACGAATTATGAGAAAAGTACATAATTGTCACAATCAAAACAAATGTATCTTGTGACATAAACACAAACGAAATTGTTATAGGCCATCAGTGAAGGAGACAATTTCTATCTTTACAGTTTACAGTGCTTCATGTTGATCGTTTTTATTAAATGAGCATGTACCCAAAATCTTTGCCATCCAATGCCCCCGTTCAAATCTTTGCTATGTTTGTCAGACATACTACCTCGAATTAAATGAGAACGTGCAACTCTTTACTCCTGACATATACACAAGCACATTGTATTGTGATCTCGCTGCCAATTAAATGAAATATGCACTTATCGCCAAACAGACCACAAGTGGCTTTGATTCCAGGGGGTGCGTCACCGTGTGCTCCTCGTCCGCGTCCACCACGTTATACACAATGTGGAACAAC